TTTCACAGTATATATAAATCACATCATCATGTTGTACACCTTAAGCTTAGACAGTGCTGTATGTCAATTACATGTCAATAAAACTGAAAGAAAAAGAAACAGAAAAAAAAATCACCTTTACCTCTTCTGTTGAGTTAAGACAGACCCCCCAAATATACTCTAAAGAAAGCAATCTTTCCGAGCTGGGCCCCCCCCGAACTGGCATGTTAGGGAGGACCTCAGGACAAAGAAAGGGACCACGAAGATGTTTGTCTGTTTTTTCCCACGAGGATCTTGATTACACACAGACATTAAATAACCCTGAATAACTGTTCGTCTGGTTCCCCAGACCGTCTGTTCCTCACCGCTTGCACCTGGATGAGGGCGAGGCAAAATTCCAGGAGGTGCTCACTGTTAGAGTCACGTGAGCACAGGTAGGCACTGAGAAGGAGTGCCATCACCTTAGATTTTTGTGCCCTGGGCACTGGGTTTGCCTCTCCCAGGCACTGTCTCTCACCTGGGCTCTCCTGGACAGGTGCAACTAACCCCTGATTCTCACCTTCCTTTCCACCCCGTTTTCCCGGCAGGGCAGGGGCCAAATTCTGGGACGTGTAGGTCGGAACTCAGGCTTCCTCCCTCCGCTGTTTGCTGCCCTCACAGCGACAGCCCTTTGCCCCGCTGGCCTCCCTGGCATTCCTCTCTGGCGCACAACTTCCCATAGCTGCACTGCTTCCTCTCTTACCTCCTACAGAACCTTCTGGAAAGGATCACCTTCTCCACAAGGCTGTCCCTGGAACTCCTTCACTTTGCACCCCATGAGCTGCTTCCCCTTGATTTTTTTTCTCCCTAGCACTGATGTTTGGCTCATTTCATTTCTTCCCCCGCGCTCCCCCCAACCACCAACCCCCACACCATGAGAAAGAAGCACCTTGAGGGCAGGATTTTGTGTTTCTTTCCCTGCTGTACGCACAGTGTCTAGACTGAGGCCTGTCATTTAGTCTGCGTTTGCTGGACAAGGCACGGGGGTGGGAGGGTGTGGAGGGGGCGTGATGGGTGCATACTGCACGTGGGCAGCCGGGACCCCAGGCTCCACCCCCTCCCCCTCCGGCCATCCCCCTGTGACTCCTGGTCCCCGCCGGCGCATGACCATGCTATGACTTGGCAGGTAAAGGAACAGAGCTCGGCCGCCGGAGATCACGCTCCCCCTGCGCCTCTGTCTTTTTTGGCCTTGGCTCATCAGAAGCTTTGTCTCTGGAAAACCAACAGAGCCCTCTGCCAGAAGTTCTGCCCAACCTTCTTGTTATTTCAGCTGTTTTCAAGGCCCTCTAGCAGGCCGCTTGGCCGCAGGGAGGTCCTCGGGGAGCCAGGTCAGGTGATGGACTCCCAGGCCTGGGATTCAGACACCATAGCGCGTCTTCGGTTGACTCATGCCATTCCGTCCCCGGTCCTTCTGGCCAACCACTGCCTGCCAGTCCTTCCACCACTCAAGAGCACCTTCCCCCAGACGCGAACCCAGAACCGAAAGAGAGACCAAAATTTAGCAGATCCAGAACACTTGCTTTCCAGTGGGGTTCGTAGAGAAGAAGACGGATCATTGCTGAGCGGATGAACAACTCAAGTTCACTCTCGGGCTGCCCGGGGAGCATCGAGGCGTGGGGGGTGGCTCATACTTGCGCTCAGCAGGGATCTATCCCAGTTTGTTCTGCTTGGATGGAGCACGTGGGTCTTCCTTGGGGGATTGTTGTGTCAGGTGGTCACGTTCCTTCCAGCCCAGTGGTTGGAGAAGGGGACGCTCTATTTCCCAAAGACTCCCCTTTTCTTCCTTAGACTACAGACAATGCTCCCTGCCTCTTCCCACTCTCCCTTCTGAGAGGGGCAGGGTGGTGCATAAAGAAAATTGGGAAGACAACCTCAGGTGAAGCCCTGGGCAAAAAGTCTCAGGCTGCGTCTTTTAAAAACCTCCCCCAAGCTTCACTGAGGTGTGATCGACAAATAAAACGCGTATGTGTTTACTGCGTATGATGTGATGCTTTGATTACATAAACAATATGAAATGATGTCCACAGTCTCATGAGCACGCCCATCACCTCGTGCAGTTGCACGTGTTTTACATTTTTTGTGGTGGGGACATTTAACACCTATCATTCTCCTCTTTGCTTCTACGTGTTGGACTTTTTTAGATTTCACGTGTAAGTGAGATGATACCGTATTTGTCTTCCTGTGCCCAGCTTACTGCACTCACTGTAATGTCTTCCAGGTTTATCAAGGTTTTTGCAAATGGAAAAACTTTCTTTTCCACGATCCTCCTTTTTCAAGGCTGAATACTATTCCATTGTGTATAGATTCTACATGCCGCACATTTTCTTTCTTTGTTCGTTCGAGGACGCTGACGTTGTTCCCATATCTTGGCGATTGTGAATAATGCAGTCAACACAGGATGCCAATATCTCATGATACTGATCTCGTTTCTCTGGATAGATACCCAGAAGTGCGATTGCTGGATCATATGGTCATTTTTAATTTTTTGAGGAACCGGCATCTTGTTTTCTATAACGTCAGTTTGGAGCTCAATCAAAGTCCATGGCTGTGGGTCCATTCTTTGAATGTCTGGCTTGCCTTTTCACTGTAGTTTAAAAAAATAAATGGGAAAAGATTAAATATCTCCCTGGAGGTATGGGCATGAAGGATAATGCAATGGCGTCCTGGCTAAATTAGCTTATTTCCATTTGGTGAAATTTTTAAGTATTAATGATTCTCTTTGAAAATCCTCAAAGGAATGTTTTATCATGGAACTGTTAAGAAAAACAATCTGTTTATTTATGTTCCCACCTTAATTTCAGCTTTTTTCTTAAGTGAATTTTTTTTCCCCTGGAGTCCTTCGTGTCAGGTCATTCCAAAATGGATTACTGACCAAGAATGAGGCCACTCTAGAGTTCCAAACTAAGTAGCTTTAAGAAGAAAAGCCTCCTATGATTGTTGCTAATGGTCAGAAGCCAGTAGAATGAGGCTGGGAATCAACCAGCAGGTCAACAAGTGTTTGTTGGGCGCCCTCCTTGTGCAAGGGCTCTTTCTTCTTCTAGAAAGGGAGAAGTCTTTGGGGCCTCAAGATCAACAAATACTGGTTGAATCTAATTGAGTTTGAAAGAATAACTCTCCTCTTGGAAAAGAGAAGAATTTGCATTTCTGAACAATTGATTCATTGGCCTCCAGATGACCATGACTGTTTACTTGAACTCCCTTTTATTTTGATTAAGTATGTATCTGCCCATCCTTTTGAGTTTATCTGGGTCTTGCAGAATTTACATACCTCCAACCACCCCCATCCGCTTGGACTGGCAGTTGGGTTGGCTTCCTCAAGGGAGGGGATACAGAACTGCACATCACGTCTATCGTAATGCCAGCCCCAGTAGCATCTTTATGTACTGGTTCTCCTCTAATCCTCTCAATGGCTTGGGTGTCCCAACAGCTTTTTTACTCGGTCTAGAATTTCAAGCCTGTGCCTCCTTACGAACCTTGTAAATTTAGGGCTTTCAAGTGAAGTTGGGGTGATATGGTTTTATTCTATGGTCCCCATTTGCAATCTGCAGCTGAAAACATAACCTTCAATTCCTGTTTTTCTTTCTTTCTTTAAAAAAGATTTTATTTATTTATTTAAGAGAGAGAACGTGCAAGAGAGAGCAAACAGAGGGGAGGGGCAGAGGCAGAGGGAGAAGCAGGCTCTCTGATGAGCAGGGACCCCAACACTGGGCTTGATCCCAGGACCCTGAAATCATGACCTGAGCCGAAGGCAGTGGCTTAACCAACTGAACCACCCAGGTGCCCCACAGTTCCTGTTTTTCAAAATTCGACCTGATTTATGCCTTTCGTCTTGTCACTGAAGTTGCATTATCTCCAGTAGGTTAAGCATCTCCAGTTTACATTCATTTTCTTCTTGGACAAGAATCATGATGTATTTCTTTCTAAGCCTGTTGGTGTTCCAAGCGCGATTTAAGGGCTAGCGATCGAGGTCTCACCCGGGAGCTTGTTAAACATACCCCAGCCTTTCCTATGAACCTGCATTTGATAAGGTCTGTAGCTGACTTCTATGTACACCCAAGTGGGAGAAGCTCTGGTTGAGCATGTCTTTAGATTTTAATAAAAATTACATCATCAAGAAATAAAGGGACAAGTTCCATTAACCTTTTTTTTTTTGGAAATTCTGACATTGAAACATTTCAAACCGTAAACTCGAATGTTCTACCTTAAGTACCTGTACACTCTCCACCTAGATTATACCATTAATTTTCTTAAAAAAAAAAAAAATATATATATATATATATATATATATATTTGACAGAGAGATCACAAGTAGTTAGAGAGGCAGGCAGAGAGGGGGCGGGGAGCAGGCTCCCTGCTGAGCAGAGAGCCCGATGCAGGGCTCCATCCCAGGACCCTGAGATCATGACCTGAGCCGAAGGCAGAGGCTTAACCCACTGAGCCACCCAGGCGCCCCGTATACCATTAATTTTCTTTATGTTTCTTTTTTTCTCGAATCATTTTCCGTCAAGAATTTTATAGAGAAATAGTAGTTGACAGCATGACCATTAGAAAGAATCATGTCTTGATCACACAGATCTCACTCTTTCTTCCAGAATTTTCAACGGGTTTGAGAAGGTCATGATTTCTTGGGAATCAGAGAAGCATGGTAGGGTGGACGTGGGGGAGAGCGGGGATTTCACAGAGCTGGGTGCTGGCCCTTGCCTCGTCCAGGGCACTGGGCCTCAGTGTCCCCATCCATATAGTGAGTGAGTTCAGAGGCCTCCTCCGTGATGGCGCTCCCAACCCCGTGATCGGAGGTCCATCACAGGCACTGTCATCATCACCATGCCTCAGGTGGAGAAACTGATGAACCAGCTACATATTCGAGTGAGAAGGAAAACATCTGTTGGCATGGAAAAGAGATTATTTCCTAAGCTACTGAGTAAAACACAGCTGCTCTGGCAGTTTTAACTCTGTTTTCTTGTCAATTTTTGTTCTTTCAGGAAACCTTGCAGAAACATGAAGCCGTCAACCATCTGGAACTGAGAAACTCACTCGAGGCTGACTGCGGCTTCTAGAACATCCAGGTGTTCTGCAGATGGGAGAATCGATCTTGCACTCACCAGCTGGAGTCCCGAACACAGACGCACGGCTCTGGATCCGGCGCTGACATCCCCGAGTCCAGACGGGTCTTTTGCTAAGTGGCCAAAGAGCCGTTGTTGACACTGAGGGCTGACGGTCACACACAACCCGTCCCTCCCTCGGAGCTGCAGGGGGACAAACCACATTCAGGGTTGCAAGTTTCCTGACTCTCTTGAATGAGGATTCCAGGTGGGGGGCTCATTTCTGTAAGCCCACCACCCTTCTAGGGACCACCCCAAACAGGACCTCCACCACCGGTATCTTCTTGCCAACTCCCTGCCCTGAGCGGGAGCAGGAGAAAGCTCTCGGAAAAATCTCTAGCTGTGGCCCACGGTCACTCCAGACAACTATTACCCTCCCATCACCCCACCATGGGCTGGCTTTTTCTAAAGGTTCTGCTTGTGGGGGTGACTTTCTTGGGAGGCCTGTATCCCTTTGTGGATTTTTCCTACAATGGGGACACAAGAGGCCAGAAGCCGAATTTCGTGATCATTTTGGCAGATGACATGGGGTGGGGGGACCTGGGGGCGAACTGGGCAGAAACAAAGGACACTGTCCACCTGGATCAGATGGCTGCTGAAGGAATGAGGTAAGTCTTGAAGAGGGCAAGGTAGCATCCCTTGGGATGCCTGACTCTCTGCGGGAAGGGTCAGCCTAGTGCCCTTGAAGAACAATTGATGGGTCCGTGTTGACTTAGTTAATTGATTGACTAATTTGGTTTGAAGCCAGTACAGCATCTTGAAGAAATCCATGCACTCACCCGTCTGATAACATTCAGGGTACATGTGTGTATGTGTGTCTGTGTCTGTGTGTGTGCGCGTGCGCGCGCGTGTGTGTGTGTGTTAGGAGCTGGGAATACAGAGGTGAACAACTTACCTCTGCTATTTATCGTCTGTGGGAGGGGACAGGTTAAAGGAAAGTCGTACTGAGGACACGAGCCTGCATTGGGGATTTTTGGAGTCTGCAAGGGAGGCTGCAGAATCCAACTGGGGGTTCAGGGGAGAAGTGACCTTTGAAGAACAGGGAGTCAGCGAGGCACACGAAGGTAAGAGGACTTAGCTGTGAGCAGACAGGACTTACTGGTCCGAGGAAGGGCACATGTAACTCCAAGGGACCATCAAAGGGAAGGGCTTGTGTATCCCAGGGGGTCTGGAGGTTCATAAGCCCCTTTCCTGCTCAGAAAGAGGACACGGATCAGAGCGTTCAGACTTCTGGATACACACCTTAGGCGGACGGCGATCTGACCCGCCAGCTCAGATCCCACCGGCGCTGCGTTTAACTCCGCCGTCTGGCTCAGTGGGAATCAGCTAGCTGGTTAGGACCCTGCTGGGGCCATCGCCACAGTGTCTCAGCCACTTGTATCCTGGAGCCACTTGTATCCAGAGCTTCCGTGGTGGGTCCCCGCATCTGGTCTCCCCTACTCTGGTCCATCCACCCCAGCTCAGCCATAGTGAGCTTTCGAGGAACACTCCTCTGCTTCCAGTTCTTCAAAGGCATTTTGTGGCCCTAGGGATCCAATCCCAACCCTGTACTGCAGCTTACAAGACCAGCCCCTCCTCCACACTCTTCTCTGTGCAGCCCCTCCGTTCACTTGGGGCCTCCCTGTGTCTGGGCCTCAGCTAGCTGATTCCATCTTCCTGGTGCACTTTCTACTGCTTCTACTGAGTTAGGTTCTACTCACCACCTGGGGCCCCGCTGCCTCCCGAGATCCTCCGGGAAATCGTTCTCAGATGTTGCCGGGTTCTCTGTCTAGTACCTTGCTTCTCCCCTGGTGATTGTGTAATTACATGACCACCTGTTTCGGGTTAAGTAGAGGGCTACTCCCCACCCCCATTCATGCCCATCTGGAACCTCAGAATGTGACCTCATTTGGAAACAGGGACTTTGCAAATGTATTTCCTTTTTTCTTTTTTTTTTAAGATTTTTTTTTAAAGATTTTATTTATTTGAGAGACAGAGACAGAGCACAAATGGGGAGAAGGAGAAGCAGACTCCCCGCTGAGCTGGGAGCCAAATATGAGGCTCAATCCCAGGACCCTGAAATCATGACTGAGTAAAAGGCAGACACTTAACCGACTGAGCCACCCAGGTGCCCCTTAGTTGTGGATCTTAATGATACTTCCATTGAGGGTGGGCCGTAAATCCAGTGACTAGTGTCCCCATAAGAAGAGGCGAGGACACAGAGAGACACCCGGAGGAGGTGATGGGAAGGCAGAAGCAGGGAATATGATGACGTGTCCCTGAGCTGGGAATGCTAGGGACCGCTGGCAGCCACGAGAAGCCAGGAGAGAGGCATGGGACAGATTCTCTTTCTGAGCTTCCAGAAGGAATCGACCCTCCTGACATCTTGATTTCAGACTTCCAGCCTCCTGACACGGGAGAGAATTACATTTCTGTCCTTTTAAGCCTCTCGTTCATGCTCATGTGCTGTGGTAGCCAAGGAAAATCAGACACCTCCCTTCTAGCTCTGGCCTTCAGGAGGAAAAATGTCTCTTCTTCCCCACTTGTACTCCTAGCACAGAGCACAGTGTCTGGTGCCCAGGAGGCAACTTATGCATCATTGTTTATCGGTCAATGGGCTTTAGGTCAAGATCCCTTGACATGTCATCCCCAATTCTGTGTGTTGGAATTTTCTATTCTTTTCTTTTTTTTCCCAAGAAGAGATTTAGTCCACAGCATTGACTAGATCCTTACAGGGAACCGGGTGGCCAAATACTTAACAACTTCCGGTGTCGAGTGGGTTTGTGGGGAAGTATCTGGCCCATTATTGAAACTGAGATTTCTGAGGCCTGGACCCTCCCCTTCCGAGCTGTCCTCCCACCGTCCCCCCAGCATCGTCTCATCCCGAGCAGAAATTGCCCCTTGGGATCCAGAAGCAAGCACTGTGTGCTGGGCTCTCCTATTTCTTCTTCCCCTTGTGAAAGTATCCTCTCCATCTGGGCCTTGTGACGGGCCCGGCGGCCGGCCCTCTGGCCCGACGTCTGTGTCCGCCGCAGCTTTTCGCTCTGTGCTTTGTTGACAGGAAAGCGGGCTTCCTGTGAGGCCACGGATTGATTCATCGCCGGCTTGGCCCCTGCCTACTCACGGCTGATGGGGAACCATGACTTTCAGACAAGAACTCCTATTGCCAAACAGGGTCTCTGGGTACTTGAGAAAGTGTCTTTTTTCTTGTCTCTTTCCTTTGAGAATATTGTTTCCTCAGATTCCCACGACAAATTACCATCCACTGTGTGCTTCAAGCAGCTCCTACTTATCCCCTCAGGGCTAAGGAGACTTAAAAGTCCTGAATCTAGGTGTCAGCAGGGTTGGTTCTTTCTGGAAGCTCCAAGGGAAAATCAGTCCCATGACCCTCTTCTCGATTCTGGTAGCTGCAGGCCGTCCTGGGCCTCCGGGGCTTGTGGACACATTGCTCCGTTCTCCGCCCCCGCTCTTTGCCTTACAGGCGCGTGTCTAACTCCCCTTCTTCTCGTAAGGCCACCGTCACTGGCTTTCGGGCCCAGCCTCATCCAGGATGACCTCATCTCAACTCGATTACATCTGCAAAGGCCCTATTTCTAAATAAGGTCATGTGCACAGGTTCTGGGTTGACATGAAGTTGGGGGTGGGGGATGCTCGTCAACCCAGAACAATGAGCCAGCCGCCTGTATCTTTACCCCTGCTCCTCCCATAATCTGTAATGTAGCAGGCACTGGATGAACGAGTGTCACTCTGAAGACTAACAATCCTGCTGAAGAGGTCGGGCTCTGGCGTCAGGTGGCCGGGTTCAAATCCCGGCTCTACTGCTTTCCATCTGTAGGACTCTGGACAAGTTCCATCATCGCTTGGAGTTTTGTTTTCTTCTCCTGGAAATGGGGACCATGGTAGCACCCACCTCAAAGGATGTTGTTAGGATTAAATTAAGTAATCAGAACCCATGCAGGTAGTTAGCACAGAGCCTGGCTCTCGGTGGACCTGGATATATGTGAGTTACGGTTAACTTTGGTGTTGGTATTAGAAATAATACCCACCTGAATTGTCGATGTGAATTGGCTTCTCTGCATAACGAAAGGTCTAGATGATACATGATGGAAGGAGAAGTGGGTTCCAGAGACAAATCCCTGTTACTCTCTAGGTGGACCGTCCACAGGGAGCCAACATCTGTATTTGAATCACACGTGACAGCTGCGGTAATGGCTAACCCGTGCTGAGCACATGGGAGCTGCCCGGCTCTGGGCATCACCCCCCGTTAATTCTGGCCACCTCCCTGTGCTTCTTTTCTTTCACAGGTGAGGAAGTCAAGGTCAAGCCACTTGCCCCAACTTGGCTGTCTCCTTGGGATCTGCTTGAGTCTGTTCCTTCCTGGACCAAGTCCCCAAGGCAACGCTTAAGTGTCTCCATGACATTTGCCTGCCAGTACACACCAGCAGTGTGTCTTTTTTTTTTTTTTTTAATTCCCCACTTAGGATAGATGCAATTTTCCAAATCTGTCAATGGAGCAGGCATCATTCACAGCATAACCATGATGGCATCAATGTTGCAAACAAAAGGATTCCTTGGGGGAAGAAAGGCAGAGCTGTTAGTGCCCCAATTTTGCTTCCTTACAGATGTCCTAACTTCCATTTACATAGCGGTAAATGTGGCCAGAACCCCCACAGTCCTGAGGGTTATGATAGACCTTAGTCATGTACAGTAGTCCAGGTCAAAGAGCGTCCCCATCATGCTATCACATAGGGGAAACTGAAGCCCAGGCAGGAGTGAAGTGATTTTACTACTCCAGTGGCTTTCCAGCATGTGGGATCCGGTTATCCACTTTGCAGATGGATTCCATTAAAAATAATGATGAACAATGCATTTGTGAAAAAAATGAAGTCTCCGGAAAGCAGTGGACGTCTCTTTATCAGAAGGCGTTGCTGTTCTGGACTCCCAAGCATTCAGCGACAGCCCACCTGGGCACTTCCAGGCGACTGGGCTCCTCACACCTGTCAGTGGGTTCAGCAGACAATGTATCTTTTGCTCTTGACCCGGTGGGCTGGGCGTTTTGTCACTGTCCGGTGCAAATCTGAGCTGAGCGGTGCTGTTGAACATGAAAATTTAAGACACAATAAGATAACGCAAGGAAAATCAAAATGTTGGAATTCAGGTGAAAAGGCCAGAGACTTGGTAATGAACTAAAACTCAAAACTTTTCAAGCAACTGGAGAAAGGGAGTCCAAGACAGCCTGCATGGCCATGGGAGCTAGCGGAAGGAAGCACTCACGTTTTAAAAAAGAGGGGAAAAATAGTATTTCACTGGGATCTCTTCCGGCTCTTATGAGAGAGTTAACTCTGAAAATAGTCGCATCATTTAAATGATTACGAGAACCCGGTGAATAACCTTGATAATGCGACAGGAGCTTGGTTCTTGTCCCCCGCACACCAGAGAAGGCTTTCATCTTGTTCACCTTGTGATGAACCAGTAACCGATTCTTGGCAATTCTGGTAGTGAGCGGTGACTCCTGGCTGATGCCTGGGTTCTAGCAGCGGCTCAGGGTGTCCAAACTGGGGTTTGAGCACCTGAATGGTCATGACCTGTAAGTCTCTTGGGGGAAGTGGGCCCAGCCAGGCAAGCCCAG